CTGCTGATAGTGGCAGTCAAAATAGTAAATAGCATCAGGCATTGTCTTTCATCTGAAAAGCTTTCGACAGCACTGTGCAAACAAACATCAGTGTAAAATCACATATAAGTGTAGCCTACCGAGATTACATTTTTTTTAAAACAGTCTGCTTTAGGAATTGGGCTTAAATAACTGTTGAGTGATGGAAAGTGCCACCCGTGAGGTTCAGCTAGGAAATGAAAGTTTCCAAGCCAACAAAAGCTAAGCTTTTGCAGGAAGGGCAATTACCCAACCTGAAAGATGATCTTATTGCTAACAGTAACACTTTCTGGTCTAGTGAAAGTGATACAGCATGTTGGGCAACACAGGCCTGAGCTCTTAACGACCTCAATTTAACAGAAGGACTCCCAGCCTATGACGCTTCCTATACTGACTCCTGAAAGTCAGCACTTTCAGGAGCTCAAAGTGTTCCTGGCTGTAGCTGTCAGACCTTCAGAAACCAACTCACCTGTGCAGGTGCCTGTATGCTACCTTAGGTGTGCAAATCTGTTATTCTCATGTGTTAGAAATACGATAGCATCAAATGTCAAATTGACCTTAGATGACAAAATATTTCTCTACTCGATCTCATCTTTCCTCAGCCAGATGTGCTTTAGAGTTGTTCATGCCCAGTTAACTTGCTGTGTTGCGGTATGTTGGGATTGCACGTGTCAGTGTAGTTAGAGATATTGTAACAGCCTAGGACTGGAGTGAAGTTGGGGAATATAGCAAGAACCAGCCATTTTTTGGCCATTTATGAAGCTGCAACCTCAAGCAATCTATTTCCCCTCCACCCCACTCAATACCACAGCTAACCCACAGAGTCTAGTTGCTGCTGAGGGTCCCTGTGTGCCGATACACACCGTTGGGAGGACAGCACCACCACAAAGCTTCACTTGTTTCCACCCAACTCAGGTAATTATAAGACACTGTGTGATGGCCAGCCATGAAACGGACCACCAGGAGATTTTACAGAAAGAAAGATTGTCTTTTGTTCTGGAAAAGCCCAGATCATCCTCAATGTAGGATCAGTATCTAAATAGTAGCTCCTACTGGAAGACCATGGGAGAGCGCTCAGGCTGGATGGACACCAGCATGTATGTGTAGCTGAACATCACGTTTCTGCCTCCAGAAAACTACTGATCCATGTCTGGAAATATAAGATGGTTGCAAGTGGGAGAGCTGCCTGTGCGAGCAGCCATCTGAAATGAGCATTTGCCTTGTGAACAAATTCCTGGACAACTACCTTCCTTCTCTACCCATCTAGTTTTAAAAAAGGGTGTTTAAATTGCATCCTTCAAGCCTGACCCCACTTCTGCCATTGGGAAAGTGCAGGGTCAGGCTCTTCACATTTGCTAAGCAGGAAAACAAGGCTGGTTTCCAACAGCTTATTGCATTTCTATGAGATTCATGTACCTAAATCCAGGACAAGACCTTGGAATCTTTCACCCAAATCTCATAAATACACTTTAAAAGCTAACCTGTAGGTTCACAGGACTTTCCATCTTCGTGAAGTCTATAGCCAGCAGCGCAGGAACACACAACTCTCTGCGGTGGGTCGTGCCTACAAAAATGCTTGCAGCCTCCATTTTTAATAGCACAGGTGAAGTCTGAAACAAATTAAAATGAAACTGAAAGCTCTTTTGAAATACCACTGGTCAGAGATTTGTTGGGACTTGGGCTTTTGGACTCAGCTTATAACCCACTCTGATTGTTCCATACTATGGGAAATGGATGCTTGTTTGCAAGGAGAGTGTCCTCCTTCCAAATCACACCTCTGCTTGAAACGAAGGAGCACCGGACACCTCTTTGAGAAGTCAGGCTGAGGAATAGCCATATGAGAGGTCCTGTCAAGCCCTGGAACAGCCTCTTGCCTCCAAGAACTGCATGCTACCTGAAATTTGGCAGCCTGACCATAAAGGACTCCTGCAAATATTTGGTTACAAGCCACGTGATTTCCCCGTCGTTGTGCTGCTTTCCTCCCCCCACGTTTATGGCAATCCATCCCCAGTGCGGATGCTAGCGGAGAATGCCATGTGTCAAATGGGAGCAAACCCTGAACCCAAGCAGGGCTTTGTCCTGGGATTATCACTGGGCTCTGAATGTAAAACCTCCAGCAAAGCCATATGTTCTTCCTGACATATCAATAAATCATCGCAACCTGACGTGGAAGACCCA